GCCTAACAGGGTGTTCAGCTCTTGGTTACCTGATGAGGGAACCCGTACCTAGATTGTGACTATCGTCAATATGGTCGACATCGAGATCAGAATCAGAACTGAAGTCAAAGTCGAGGATGCTCGGATCTTCTGTGTCTGCCGAGTTTTTGACAGGTAGTGAATGATCATAGTCGACATCCATGGACGATCACAATGCGTCTTGAGAGGCAACTGGGCGTAAACGAGGTCTGAGAATTGAAGAATCTGCTCGTCTATGCTAATCTGAAGATTCGAATGAAGGTCAATAGATACTGGGTAGGGTCCGACACGGCTCCCGGGGCTCGCCCATAGCACGCCCACGGAGAGGAGGCCCCGTTGTCTTCCTAGTGCTGTTCTACGCAGCTACCCGACCAGTTGGTTGGGGTGGAGGGAATGGACATACACATGGGGGTGACGCCCACCAGCGGGGCGGAGACACCGGCGTACAAGCCCCGGCGCAGACCGTCTTTGGCCACGCTCTTCCTGACGACATCCATGGCGCTCGAGTAAACGCCCTTCTCGGCTGTCTGCAGGCGCACCTTGACCAAGTCGAAGGGGTGGCCGACCACGACAGCGCAAACGCCGCCGAAACCGCCTGCGACGAAGGACCGGAGCTGGGCAAAACCTGCCGATGTTACTGCCTTGGCCTCGGCCTTGATCTCAGCCTTGAGTTCCTCCTTGTTTTCTGGGATGTGGGGCAGCTTCTCGGAGACGGCGTTCGGGAGGGACGACTGCAGCTTCTGGTTGACCGCCGCGGCAGTAGACCCGGATGATGATGGCGACGAGGCCATTGCGCCGGTGTTGTGATAGTTGATATGAGGTTAAAGGTGGTGCGGAAGGCCGGTGTTAACTCAGGATCCCGATGGCGGGTTGTGTCCCCTCCTTCTCTTTGCGCGTGCTTCTCTGTGTCGTGTGTAGCCGAGCTGTGTCCTTATAGGTATCTTCGAGTGTTGGTCTGCTATTTTCGGTTCCAAAGACGGTCGGTATGGCGAGAGAAGTGATTGCAGTTGCGCAAGACAAGTTGATTTGGGTTGGTGTTGATTTGTCTCAAGGGAGTTGCCTCGGAGTTGGGGCGCTTTCGGTGGGGTTTTGAGACAACTCTCGGCCCGTCGCAAATGTTCAGCCATGGACGTCACCCGCGCTGGAGTGAGAACCTCGGCAAAAAGGAAAACTTGCCCCGCCTTCGCTTGCGGGAGGAATTCTGACCCCGAACCAAGAACGACGAGTTCTTTACCACCACACCACCCCTCATGATCGTGAATAAATCGCGCTTCTCTTCCCCATCAACCGCTCTGGAGAAATCTCTTTGCCTGCTCGTGCCTTTTCGCTCGCGTGGCCAACCAACTAAACAATTAGCCACTTGCCCCTCTCCCGTTACCCCACACAGATCAGTGGACCTCCTTGTCCCAAGCGTTAAATCTTGAATGACGGGTTTTCCGGCATCATGGGTTTAGTTAGTCCCATTGCCAATTAGAGGTGTCGTGACAATCCATCCATCCAGCCGTCCCGGGCGAAAGCATCTGCATCGGGCGGGCGGGTGACGAGGGTGTTGAGCCAGCCTGCAAAAAATGATGGGTCCGCGCCAGCTTAAAGCGGCAACCCAGACACCAACATGTGGGATTCGTACACAGTAAAAATAAGGTACGGACGCCAAGATTGCCCCTGGTTATTGGCATGTGAATGCGCCATTTTGGAGATTGGGAAGACGGCATTTGCCACAAAGAGTGAACCTTCTTGTTCCATGCATCCCTAACCCTCTCCCATCCCGTGATACACACAACCAACGACCATGCTGTCGGCAATGAAGAAACACAGGGATCAAAATCATCGCGGATAGTTTGATGAAATGTAATTGTGTTAGGTGGCTGAGATAGCTTCGCGTTCATCTTAATAACTAAGTCGCAGTGGGCGGTCGACTAGGGGCGGCAAACTCACACCTTGAGTAGATCATGGTGTGGTGTGTAAGAGTATATGCGTAGTTGGCACGACCTCCTGTTTCCGAGGCTGGCGCTGACTAGCATTTCAACTGGAAAAAGGGGAGAAAGTAAATCAAAATATAAAAAGCTCACCGTCTAACCCTAGTTACCACGCAACTGAGGGGTAGGCGGCTACGAAAACCCCTGGGGGATTTTGCATCGTGGGGAGACCACATCTCGAACCCGTAGTGTTTACCTCTACCACCCAAGTTGGAACCACTGCGGCACCCGTGGCGGTACTTGGGAGGTGGGTGACAGTTGACCAGTTGGAACTTCTATATCTAGTGCGGAAGGGTAAGAGTTGGGATGGCGGGAAGGAGCAGCGAGAAGTTCGGATGAGAGACGCTCAAACTGAGCGAAAGTTAGGCGGCTTATATATCAGCGACGAGCTAGGGTACCTAACTAACAACAGGAAAGCTGGCTTCGTATGCTCCATAGTTCGAACGGCCCCTTAGTATCAACAGTTCCAATGCCTATAGAGGCAATAAATCTTCCCCATCACCAAATCACGCCAGATGCGTTGCCAGCTACCCAAACACCCAATGCTCCCACAATTATACACCCCTAACCCAAACCCAAGCCGGGTACCCCCCCCTCTCCCCCCTCAAAAAATGCTGGTACTAGGCGTCGACCGATGCGCCTGCGAGAGCGGGCTGCGCCCAACACCACACCAACAGCTCGAATCCCCCTCCCGCTCCACCTGCAGCGTGACATCAATATTATGCTGCAGCAGATAGTTCCTCACGCGATCCCGTACATCATCCATATCCACACCGCGGGCCGCCACCACATGCATGACACCCAGCAACGCCCCCTCCCCACCGGCATTCCGGTCATCGATCCAGAACTTGGGCGCGGCGTAGCCGACGACGCCGCGCAGGCCCGTGATGCCGGACAGGGTGTCGCGCAGGGAGTACTCGATCTCGGGCGGGACGGTGAGCAGCAGGCGCCGCGCCGACGACTTGACCAGCGGCAGGGCCGAGAGCAGGATGAGCACGGCGATGAGGAAGGACGCCAGCGGGTCCCACCCGGACCACTTCCAGAAGTGCGTGAGCACGGTGGACACGATGACGGCCGCGCTGCCGAGCGTGTCCGCCAGCACGTGCAGGTAGATGCCGTACATGTTTTCGTTGTCGTGAGAGTGGGAGTGGCCGTGGGAGTGGGTGTGCCCGCCGTGCGAGTGCCCGTGCTTCTCGTCATGCGGGTGGTCGTGGCCGTGGTCGTGGTCGTGGTTGTGAGAATGGTCATGGCCACCACCGTGAGTGTGGCCGCTGCTGCATCCGCCATGTGAGTGACCATGGTCATGCCCATGCCCGTGGTGGTGGTGCCCAAAAGCCATCATGCCCCACCAAGTTGACCAGCAGCCCTAGGGTGCTGATCACAAAGAGCTCCCCGAGCCTCCTGGTCTCCCTCCCTTCATATATCCGCTCGCAAGCCTCCGTCATAATCTCCACGCTGATGAGTATTAAAAACACTCCATTACCGAAACCACTCAGGGTCTCAATCTTCCCAAACCCGTACGGAAACCTCTCGGCTTGGTGGCCACTTGCTAGCAACGGCAGCAAACAACCCGACCGCTAGAGCCACGCAGTCAAAGAACATGTGTACGCTGTCACTTAAAAGGCCAAGTGAGTCCGTCACATAACCGTAAAACGCCTGCACCATCATAAATGCAAAATTCAAGCTGCGCGGAGATAAGTTAGCCAAACATTCACTCGCCGTTTCAGCACCGCAACTAGATACGAACCTCATAAAGTAGAAGATCCGCCTAGAATCCTTATTTGTCACCACCGCGTGCAACAGCGGCCACCTCGGTGTGTACCGGAGCAACAACCCCGTAAATTTGGACCTCGGTCCCGAGTGCTCATGATGGTGATGCGAGTGTGAATGTGAATGTGAATGTGAATTTGCCCTCGACCGTGCGGCCGTAGGAGGTTCATAGACACCGGCCGCGTCGAAGCTGGCGTCTGTGGGCGATAGCAATGATTTGCCCCCGGGCGTTGATTCCATCCTCCAATGCCCGCCCGAGCCTGATGGTGGAGGGACGTTGATCGGCACGGGGACGTTCGAGTTCGTGCGGAACTGTGTGTGGTTGCTGTCATGGTGGTGGTGGTTCCGGGTATGGGAGTGCGCCGGGGAGTCTTTTCGGCTCCGTGAGGGACTCAGCGAGGTTAAGGACGATGTGTGGGAGTGTGAGTGCGAGTGCGAGTGTGAACCGGCGTTTTCCCCATGGTGATGGTGTTGATGAAGCGCCGAAGCGGGTAAAACATATGAGGAAGCCATTGTGCCCCGTCGCGACAAAGCTCGGGGGATGGGCTAGTTCGAAAGGAAGAGCAGCCAAGGCGTGGGGTCCTTGATTCGTAGGCTGCAGGAGTGTCGGCACTCCTATTATGATCGGGTCACCTGTCGGTGGGCATCGGAGGGCTTGTTTGGAACGGTCGGGATAGGTGATTGCTCCGTACGCTGGATTAGGTACGCGACCCGGTTCGCTGTGCTGCTTGACAACAACCCATTAGCGACGCCGGTTCGACTGCCGAAACTCGACAAGAGCAACAACGCAGTAGTACTCACTGAGATGACCTAGAAGTCTCAAAATGGACAAATAGTCACCAATTGACCAGTCCCATAGATCTGGGTCTTCAATGTTTCCCCGGGGCGCAGTTGAGGAGGGAGAACGGCGCAGTCGTTTCGAGTTGGTGGTCCGGATTTGTTGATGTCAAGTCGTCAAGGAACGATGCCAACACCGCCCGCTGTGGGCCACGCTTCCACAAGGTTGTTCAACTTGTCCCTCTTCTTTGATGCAGCCCCTGTCGCGGTCGCGGTCCGCCGCTTTTCCCCTTCTGACCGCTTACCCCCTGAGCCTATGTGGAGAAGGCTGCAGCATGCAGATGAATCAATGGTTTAATTGGCTGTATGCACGAAATCTAGGCGGGCCCATGTCAACCCCGGAAACACCAAACACCATGCAACCCGATAAGCCGCTTTAATATGGGGCCGAGATTAGCTGGCAAACGCCCAAACACCACAGCTTCCATCGGAAGTTGGGACGAGGCTGATGGTGTGAAACTTCTCAGATACAAGGCTGAGGTTGAAGACGTCAGAAATACCATTTAAGACCATCGCAGCATTTCGGGTCTTTTTACGGGCCACTCCGTTGCAACGCTTTCTGATGCCACGTTGCTGAATTCGACATCAAGACAAACGGCGCAGACAAGTTTTGGCGATGCGAAGATGATTGCTTCACTAATTCACTCTTTTCTTTTTTGCGTCTGGTGTTTGAGTGCACTCACCTTGTACCTCATGTACAGCGTCACAAAGTATGAGGAACCCAAAGCTGGCTCGCCCAAGAAGCCCGTTTCTGTCCATGTTCTTGTTCTGGGAGACATTGGCCGTAGTCCACGCATGACATACCATGCCCTGAGCATAGCCAAGCATGGAGGCAAGGTAAACTTGATAGGGTATCTCGGTATGTGCTTCTCAGCAGCGGTGAAGACAGAATTGGCTAATGTGGCACAGAGACCTCCCCTCACCCTGATGTTGTCAACAACCCCAACATCACCCTCATGGCACTCCCCGCCCCTCCACGCAGGCCGCCGTCCGTTCCCTTCATTCTATTTGCGCCCTGGAAAGTTCTCTACCAAGCCTACCATCTCTTCCACCTCCTCGCCCGCGCCCTCCCACCAGCGGAATGGATCCTCGTCCAAAACCCGCCAACCATCCCTACCCTCGCCATCGCCAGCGTGATCTGCGGCCTCCGCAACAGTAAACTTATCATCGACTGGCACAACTACGGCTGGACCATCCTTGCCGGCACCCGAGGTGCCAACCACCCACTCGTCGCTCTCTCCAAACTCTACGAATGCTACTTCGGCCGCATGGGACACCTCCACCTCACGGTAACCAACGCCATGGCGTGGCAGCTCCGCCAGCCACCCTACTCCATCAGGGGGGGCATGCTAGCGTTGCACGACCGCCCCGCCGCCATCTTCCAACCCATCACTTCCCCGGCCATCAGAAAAGAAACCCTCACCCGGGTCCTCCCACCCTCAGAACAAGACCTCATCCCCAGCATCCTCTCCGGCGACACCCGCCTCATCGTCAGCAGCACCAGCTGGACGCCTGACGAGGATTTCTCCCTCCTCCTCGACGCCCTCGTCGAATACGCTAACCCCCCACCCACCGAAACCACCGCGACCCGACCCCCCCTCCTCGCGCTCATCACCGGCCAAGGCCCCCAAAAGCCGCACTACCTCGCCCAAATCGCCCACCTCACCGCCAGCGGCCGGCTCCCGGGGATCCGCATCGCGACGGCCTTCCTCCCCTTCGCGGACTACGCGTCCCTGCTCGCGTGCGCCGACCTCGGCGTGTGCCTGCACCGCAGCAGCTCCGGGGTCGACCTGCCGATGAAGGTGGTGGACATGTTTGGGGCGGGCTTGCCCGTGGCGGCGTACAGTGGGTATAAGAGCTTTAGGGAGCTGGTGAGGGAGGGGGTGAATGGGAGGGGGTTTGAGACGGCGGGGGAGTTGGCGGAGATTTTGGTGCGGTTGTTCAAGAGAAGGGGGGCGTGGGGGTGGGAGTTGGAGCGGTTGAGGGAGGGGGCGGTGAAGGAGGGGGAGAGGAGGTGGGATGAGCAGTGGGATGACAAGGTGGGGGTGTTGATGGGGTTGGTGATGTGAGAGGGTGGGAGGTTGTCATTTGGTGTACAGGTAAATGTATGGGGTTAAGCTTTCGTCTTGTTTTTGTATGGTTTTCTCTAGTTTGGGTGTTTGCTGGCCCTGGCCCTGAACGCCTAGGCCCTACGGTTCTTACACTTCCCATGAAGCGCTACTGTGTCTTCTACAGACCACCCCCATCATGGAAACCCAATACAGAGCCTCCCCTTGGCCACTTCTCGCCACCTATTATGCCTGCTATCCATATTTACGTCTCCACGCTGCCTCCCCAACTGGTTTAATCCTCCCCCAAGCTCTCCCTCACGCACTTCCGGCACCGCCTCCTAAAGTCCTTGTTGTTCCCCTCCCGCTCGTCACGCAGCATCCTTGCGGCCTCGACATTCGCGGGGCTCTCGTCGTTAGGGTCCTCGAACAGGCTGATCACGCTGAGCAGAATGGTCTCGGGCGTCTGCACGGGGCTCCACCTCTCGCTGGCCGCCTCGTAGCCGTACTTGTCCTCCTCGGGCGGGTGCAGAATGCTGATGCAGAGCTCGCCATTGGGGTAGATGTTGGGATGGAACGGTATCGGTGTTTGGAACACCATCTTTGGGGGCATGAGGGGGTACGTCGGGGGGAAGGTGAGATGTGCGCGGAAGTTGCCTCCTGGGAATGGCGCTGTTAGCGGTAGGCTCGCGTGGTATGAAAGGGTGTGTGTGAGAGAGTGATTAAGCGCACCGCCGTAGTATTTGCAGCCGTCGTTGATCATTAACATGACCTCCCACTGGAAGACATTATTGTCGTTTACCAAGCCGCACGAGATGCCGGGTAGGTCCTTGGCTGACTGCATTTGCTTCAGCTGCCGCGCCAGCAGGGCGCCGGAAGCCGCCGAGCTTGTCGATGCGCTTGACATGATTGTTCGTGGGTGAGAAAGGCGGTTTAGTGCTCGGTATGCCAAAGTAGAGATGGCACAAGCCCAAGAGTCGAGAGCAGTCCCGACGCAATCGGACCCACCTTTTAGAGACCCCGATCGCCGCCTTTGCCCCGCACCACCTCGACCCCACGCTGCCGCTCGTTACCGCTGCCGCTTTGCCCCACCCGCTCTGGCCGCTCACACGACCTTGTCTCAGGCATCCTTTACGTACTTCATAGACATCATCGTGATCAGCTCACCGTCCGTCTACATGGGACGCGCTAAACGCCCGGGTCCGGTTCCGTCGTTGGGGTCTACGGCTTGGGAGCCCGCACAAGACGAGATCTGAATGGCATATTCCAAATGAAGTGCCACACCAAAGTAAACTCTCTAATAAATCTTAAGACGTTCAAGCAGTTACCTTACTCAAAAAGCCGTACTTCATACTTTTAAGGCGATACCAATGAAATCTATAGGTACATACGAGTTTGACCTCTCCTGCTCCATTCTTCAATCTTCATCATGATTTAAAAAATCAGATAACTATTCTTCTTTCCACTGATCTGATGCCCCATTATCGCACCTAAGCCTCTTCATTTCCGCTTTCATTTCTTAGCATAATAGCAAGGATAGGGACGGTTGTTAGGGCCTTCGATTGCCATCATTATTTCCTAGAAACGCTTGAAAAGCCGGCTGCTGGGGCCTCAGCGTAGGAAGGTTCCCTAATCCCGAAGAGATAGATAGGGATGGAACTTACACAACCATGTCTGGCTCCTCCTAGATCCATATTGTCATGCCCAGCATTGTACAAAATGATGCTGGCTAACAACTGACGGTAATATCTATTTTCGGCATCGCAGACTGAAATCAAATGCGCCTTGTTCATTGAATAGCCGACTACTACCTTACCGTCGCATGCTGGCCTCCATGAACCGTTGACTTACCGTTGGTTGACGGCTCCTTAGTCTAAACTGCTGAATATCATAAGCTAATATCACCCCGCTCGTTTTATGTGACTGGTTTACTTAAATAAGCCGCTGAAACACCATTGAGTCGTTCATGTAAATCAACCGCTTGTTGCGATTGAGCCGCTAGTTTTGCTGAGTCGTTTAAATGTTAACTGAGCCGTTATCACAACGGCTTGTAAACTGTGAGCCGTTTGTTGTTGTGAGCTGCTCCGACGTTTAGCCGCTTATTCAATGTGTGCGGTTCGCGGTGTTGCCGACCCGGTTCGCTCGCATCGCGCCCCTCCACGCCCGCCGGATCCACTCTGACCCACTTAAATACACGCTTATGCAGGGCTCAACTGGTCAATTCTGCTGGCACGCCAGGACATGCGACGCGCGCGACACGTCGCATATCCCGGGGAGCCAGCACACTCAAATGAGGTGCTCTTTTACATGCCCTGTCGTTCCTCGCGATCCATCCGTCCATTGCGCATCAAGTGAACTGCACGCGCCAGTTAACCCAGAGTAGCTCGGTATCCGCCTCCAGCTCAGTGTTCCCGATGCCTGTAAGCAGGCGGCGACCCGGACCAGTCGTGAAAGGTACCATATAAAGGCGATCGCGGCGTAGAGCAGGCAGGCCGATAAGTCGGTGTCGACAGTCCTCGAGCGAAGCCGCCATGGCAATGTTGGCACCAGACGCGGCCATCTTCAAGATCGGAAGTCCGGTCAGGGGCTCGGTGCTGCCGGTGTCGGCGAGTGGCGTGATGACTAAGAACACAAAGAACTGGCCAGAACCTGACAGGAATATTTGTTAGCGCTCTGGGCGTGGTTGGTCCGTTGTCTCGTCAAGCGCAGTTTGCTGATCGATAGAGTGGTGGCGGGACGCTTGTCGGATACCCCGCTCCATATGGGATGATGACGAGTCGATCAGAAGGTTCTGACTCACCATGCACTGCTTCGTGCGTCATGATATGCTCAAGTCTGCCGACGTTGCCGTCGCGGTACTTCACGAATTGGCCCCGCTGATAGACCAAGCGCTGGACACCTTTGGGTTTGGTGCTGATGGGTCCGTCTCCAAACGAAACCTTCTTCCACCACCTGATATGCCAGTTCGTCGTCACAATAATGTTCTTGTCATAGTCCACCCGGTATGCATCGCGAAGCATCCAAAGGAAGGTTGGCACCAATGCGCCCTCACGAACGGGAAAAGCCCATGTCCTGGTATACACGAGCCTTCACCAAGACCAATACACTTGCATTGGGATGCAGGTCGTCACCAACAATGATGTCCCAAATCGAAGAATCGTCGTCATCGTTCTGGAGACCTTCGCGCGGTAGCAATGATGAGAACAGAGAAGGGGCTGCCGATGCCAGATTCTTGATGTCGGTGGTGATATCGGGGTCGTCATAGCGAAAGCCGTCGAGTAGTGTCAGTCGAACCGTCTGCAGCATATTCTCGTACGCAAGGCAGTCCTTTCTCGGGGTTACGATGGTTCATCGTGAGCACGATATTCTTCCAGAGCCTGGTCACGTATCAGCCCTGTCGCGACGAGAGTATGGGAGGTACTCCTTCCCATGGTACTTCTCCTTGGCGTGCGGGGGGTGGGTGTCGGAGACTCGAGCAAGGGTCGGTCGGAAAGGAGGTACTTCATCGACCTGTGGCCCACTATTAGACTTTTCAGGGGGCACTATCACTTACTTGTGTTTCAACTCGCCAGGGAGAACCATCATCAACGACACCAAGCCATATTGACGGAACACGTCGACATAGTGCAGGCCAACATGTACGTTCGGACGCTGCGCCCACTGTCGATATTTGCTGGCCTTCTGGGCGACGGTAAGCTGGCCGATGTTGATATCATCGTCGACAGCTTCCTCGTCCTCTTCGATGACCGGCTCGATAGTGTTGCCAGCTGCGGGACGAGGCGCGGAGGGGGCAACGGATCCGGCGCGGGATGATGCAAGTGAGCCACGACGCCGGGCAGCGGCAGCAGCGGCAGCGCCAGTAGCAAGGTTAGTAGAGCGCGACGCCGCCTCGCATATCAATTGGAACATACGGCGGCTAATTCGGATCGTGTCCATGATAGTCGCAGGGTCGCGGTCGTTCGCATCGAGTTCAGGTGCTGATAGGATCTCGTTGGTCTTGACGATTGCCGCTAGCACCAGTGTCAGTATCTCGACAGCGCTCTTGTGCTCGACCTTGGATGCTATAGCCACATCAGTGTTGGTGGCTTGCCCGCGGGTGAGCTCGGTTTGCGAGAAAACACCCCGTACTGCCTGAACGAAAGGGCGCTTCAGATCTGCCTCCGTCAACCACAATAGCGAGATGATGGTCATCAGAACCGACCATCGCGCATGCTCCTGCAGACTGTAGTTGAGTACGTTATATGGGGACTGGATTCGGGCCCAACCAGGGGGGAAAGGCATCTGGCGGAGGATCTTCGAGTATGCGACGACGGCATCAGGCTTCAACGCAGCATCAATCAGGATCTGGTGAGTCATCTTCGTGATACCGTTGAACTCGGAATGTGCTGCGTCGCCGGGACGACCGCTGATGAGATCTAGTGCTGGCGCAACCTGGTTGAACTGCAGGACGGTCAAGCGATATACCGTGCTTCGTCGAAAACGCCTGGCTTGCGGTACTTCTGAGGCAGGTCGTCCATTGCACGACGTAGTCGGAGCATCTCGACATGGGCCCGTGTCTGGTCGAGTATGTTGAAGTCCAGTTTATCGCGCTTCTCGACAGGGATCCTACAGTTACGGCAGCCCAGGTTAGCCGCCACACTGAGACAACCCGAGTTATCCTGTTGCTGCGGCATATCGCCAGTGAAGGCGATGATCGGGGCACACAACAGGGTCTCCACACCATTGATGGCAACGGTGATGCCCTGGTCGAGGGCCTTGAGTGGGGCGAGGGCCTTCATCACATCGTCGAAGTTGGCGCCGTGCGGACCTAGGGTAACCGGCAGGACGTTGATCTGCCGTGTATGCTCGCTTCTCGGCATCGCTGCAATCTGCAGATAACAACCCATAATCGACTTCGTCATCGTGCGGTACAAGCCGAAGCCGTCATTGAAGTCCAAGCATGGGAGGGACCGAACTTGACCCTGTTCAGGGCCAATAGCGAACTTGTTGATGAGCACCTCTCGACCGAACTGTATAACCTCAAGCGCCGGGGACAGGTGGGACCAAGCATGGTGGCATAAAAGCACACTGTTCCTTCATGAAGATGCGGCGGATGAGTGGCATGCCGATGCGCTCGCGTGGATCGTCGTCGAACTCCACCTGGCTACCAAATGCATAATCGAAACCGATATCGGTGCGACGACCGCGAATCTTGGCCGATGGAACGAGCTCCATCGGGCTATAGCTCAATACCCATTCGTTGTCTGTAACGTTGTCGCGTGTTGGGTTGGTCTTAATCTCGATCGCCTGGTTCGCAACGATATTCTTGATAACATGGCCACGGAGTACCCGCGCGATAACGAGTACAACGTCACCCTGCTGAGCCTGGTCGACGTTGTTGTTTGATGCGGCTATCAAACCGAGGTCTCGAGTGCTGTCGCGACGGTCGCGGTATACTGCCATAACTTGGCCGACGTGAGGCTTTGACGTGTCATCTGCACTGTGACAGTGCCTGCAGTCGCGGAATGTGCACTCGAAGTCGACGATGTCGCCGGGGAAGATCGGGTCCTTTGGGCTGGCTGGAAGCGGCGGGTACCAGACAAAGACGCCGCTAGTGGTACGCACTGAACCAGCCCACTGCATGGAATGCCAGGCTTCGATAGGGCTATCGACGAGGTCGGCTAGACCATAGTGCATGCCCTTGGCCAGTTGCGAACCTTCGATACGGCTGAGGAAATCTACAGGGTTTAGGAAGAAGAGGTCCTGTGTAGGGTTCTCACCCGTCGTCATGGCGGTCACCTGGCGTGACGAGGAGAGCTTCTTGGGGTTGAGTGGCAGGTCCTTGACGGTTCTCATATCGATGTGCGGCAACGATTCGCGGACGTGACGCTTGAGCGTATCGAGACTGTCGGGTAGCCGGTTAACTTTGTCGGCGTCACGACCGAGCAATTTGAAGAGCTCTAGCTGTGTGGCATACTGCTTTCGTGACACGCCATTCACGATGCAGTAGAGGCCCCAGCCAAGGGCGAAGTCAGACAGTCCATGGATCTTGCGGGGTTGCTTGATCGACTCCGACGCCGCGAAAGGATCCGTCATATCCTCGCCATACTGGTGATACGCCTGCCAAGGCGTAGCAACGGCGATCTCGTCGGCAACATCCTCGGCATCTGTGGCATCGACCTCGTCGTCCTGATCCTCGACGGTATCAGCAATGTATTGGTACTCGGCCAATGCCCGTAACTCCGACTGCAGTGGCGCATCGTCGGCAACCTGGTATTCGCCAGTGTCGGGGTCGGGGTCGGGATAAACGACGTGGTCTTCTTCGATTGCAGCATCGACTAGCGCATGGGCAAGTTCGTTCTCGTCAAAGTCCTGGGAAAAGTGTGTCAGTAAGTTCTGTGTCATCAGGGCGAAAGGTACTGAGTAAACTTACGGTTACAGCCTGCGGTTCCCAATCGTCGCCGAAGTCGCTACCTTGGTCGAAATCTCCGGAACCGGAGGGAATATCGGCGAACGCAGCATCGTCGTCTACCTCTACCGGGTCTGCGTGACGCGGTCGCTGGGATGGGGTATCGTTACCGGGTTGGTTGGGCGATTCAGACCTCTCTCGCTGTCGCTTGTCGACCCGCCTCTGTAAACGGCGCCGAATGATCGCCAGTTTGGTTCGGTATTGGAGTGCGCGGGGCATCGTGACTGTCGCCAAGCTCGGCACGGCGATGTGAGATGCGATCCGTCTCTCGATGGGCAGGTTTTGATACCCGTTGGTGTCCACGCAGTGACTACGACCACGACTGGAGGGATGTTGAAGTGGGCGAGACCGCAAGAGAGTGGGAGAGGAAATTGGTCGGTATAGTGGGGTTGAGTGGGATATCGCTGGCTCGGAGAGGGGGGCATCACTTACCACACAACAGTCAATTCGACGCACCGAAAGTAGGAAGGAGTTGCCGCCACGCCGATCCCCGTCATGGATAGACGCTAAGGCCGTCCCCCACCGGCTTACCTTATCGCAACCGCTTATAGCAAGAGCGGCTCACGACTCAAACCGATCACTGTCGGCTCAGAGCTCGGAGCCGCTCATGGAGACAAGCGGCTCATGGAACTAAACGGCTCATGGCTCATAAGTCGGTAACTGCTGGCTCAATTGTCACAAGCCACTTGTCAAAAAACGCGGCTCACACCCATATACAGCTTGATACCAATGAGTTGGACATTGATGGTTAGTTTACAATTAGTGGTACGATAATGGCTTAACGCAGAGAGCGGCTGTGTCTTTGGGAAACGTTTTATATACGAGCGGTTGGTTGACGGCTCGTCTACTAAGCTGTTCAAATATAGAAACGTTTGCAACTATAAGTAGCTTAAATGAACTAAGCTGACTTTCAACGGCTCACTCTGAGCGAGCGATTACTTTACGGCTCGCAAGCACCCTACATACTCCCCTATGTAGCCCACCAGCTACGCAAATACTCCCGTCGCTTCGATACTTTCCATCCATCCAAGACGGTTGTCAGTGCTTGAATCTTTAGGCCCAGCAGGAAGGGTGTCTGGGACATCTTTTATCCAGTGTCAACTCTCTGTGATAGGCGCGGGTAGTTCCCTATTAACACTTTTAGTACGTTATTCCGCCAACAAAACCCTTTGAATGATTTACATGCCATCAAACTTCTGATCGTAACCGGCCTGGGTGTTGAACCAATACCTGTCTCCGGCCACACGGTTTCCGTTCCGTTTGTTCGAAAAAGAAAAAAAAAAAAAAAAAAAAGAAAATGAACATGTGCCCTGAAGGAACAAGTGGTAGGAGCAACGCGCCGCTAGACTAAGGTATCTTGGTATTCTGTTTAAGGAACCTTTCTCGAGCCTTAGCTCCCAGGGTGACATGTCATCGTCTCAGCTTCGTCTTGGAACTCCTCGCCCAGTCTGATAGGTGCGCATCCATCCGCAAGTCTTTCACGGACCGAACTTTCATGGTTCACGGGAGAGCCAAGACTCGGATGAGCGTCAACCTTGCTGATCGGTTCTCATTTATCGCGGTTCAAGGTCACTAGTATCCCCAAGAAGTGTTGTCGTCTCAAAGGCGGATAGGGAACCCTCCGCAATGTGACGGCAAAGCCGGGGACTCGGACCGCACTGTTGACTGTTTCGCAGCAAGGGTCGATTTCTGTTAACGCCTGACTACGAGGTTATCTAGTTGGGATTGGTGGCTTTAGAAAGACAAGATATGCCAAGAGAGATGCAATATAAGGTTCCCCAGTTTGGCCCGGCTCCTGCGCCTCGGTTCCGGTCTTTTGAGCTTCGCTTAACGCTTTGCACCACTATCCGCGGGGAAGTGTTGCATCGTGTTCAACGCTTGTAGTGTGCACAGCAACTCCCGATCCTACCACTGACTATTGCGTGCCGAGACTGCCATGTTTCCAGGGGCGTGATTGTTGAGTCAACAGATCTCAGATGCGCGCCTATCGAGATGCAAGGAACCATCTTGCCATGGCTCTTTTGGGAAGGAACTGTGAAACCGCCGTTGAGCTGGTGATCGTTGACTAAATCAAATGCCGCATCTCATTGCCGAAGATGAGATTGACTTCTTGGAAGTTGTTGAGAATGGCAGCTGACAAAATCATCCTCCTTATCCCCCGGCGATGCGGTGACAACGCCAAGGACAGAACGTCGTGATGCTGGCGGCCTCCTATATAACAACCGGATCTTGTCGCGAACAAGCGGAGGATGAGCAGCAGAGCGGCAAGGAAGAATATCGATCCTGCTTCTGCCCCTGAACCTCGTCGCATCCCGACCCTCTCCTGACCAACCCGCCGACATGCAGCTTACCAACCTCGCCCTCTGGGCGGTTGCGGCCGTCCAGACGGTTCAGGCGCACTACCGCTGGAGCAAGCTGATCGTCAACGACCGCCTGACGGGGGACTGGGAGTACATGCGCGAGAACAGCAACGGCATCATGCCGACCAAGCAGTTCATCCAGGCGAGCGACGACTTCCGCTGCAACTCGGGCTCGTTCGCCAACGCGGGCCGCACGGGCGTGTACAAGGTCAACCCAGGCGACAAGATCGGCTTCCAGCTGTGGTACTACGCCACCATGCAGCACCCGGGCCCGCTCACCATCCACATGTCCAAGGCCCCCAACAACGACGTGCGCAACTACCGCGGCGACGGCGACTGGTTCAAGGTGCACCAGATGATAATCTGCAAGCCGCCGTCGAACGGCTACCTGAACGACCAGGACTGGTGCACCTGGGACCAGTCGACCGTCAGCTTCACGCTGCCGCGCGACACGCCCCCGGGCCAGTACCTGGTGCGCGTCGAGCACATCGCCCTGCACGGCGCCAAGGATGGCCACACCGAGTTCTACTTCGAGTGCGCCCAGATCGAGGTCGGCGGTAACGGCAACGGCCAGCCGGGGCCCATGGTCAAGATCCCGGGTCTGTACGACTCCGAGGACCCCGCGCTGAGGTTCTGGATCTACGGTGTGCCCAACTACCCGTACACCAATATCGGAAAGCATTCCGTGTGGACCGGCGGACAGGCCAACGGCGGCGGGAACTCGGGAGGCGGTGGAAACACCGGCGGTGGCGGCAGTGGAAAAGCGCCTCTGTATGGACAGTGTGGAGGCAAGGACTGGACAGGCCCGACGTCTTGTTCCGAGGGGACTTGCAAGGCGACCAATGAGTGGTACTCGCAGTGTGTCAAATGAGCGAAGTACCCGGAACGGGAGGCTACTTGATAGGCTTGTAATACGAAGGGCGTTTGTGCCCTTCAAACCACTAGGAGATACTAGTTGTATTAGGTAGCTAGGTAACCTAACACTTTGGTCTTGTTGCCTCAGCGGCCATACAGTTTCGGCGTAAGGAAGTATGACTTGCCTTTATCAATCTCCCCAAAAGAGCGCTCGATGTACGATACAAAGCCAGGGTGACCACTACCAGTGATTGACGACATAACCCCGTGGCTCGTTCCCTTCTTGAACCCGATGTTTGTTGCTGGCCGTCTAACAATAGGGTTCCGAGACCAGAAGTTTTTTGTTCGCCGAAATATAGCTGTTTTCGCGCTTCCATATGCTGTTCTCGATTGCCGCCCGCATCCCGCCGCAAGGCGTGCAACCATCGAACCTGAACTCCAAACGCCGTCCTATGGTTGGTATCTTCGCCCACCTAAAACCAATGCGAGCTTTTATCCGTAAAAGCAATACCTCAAAGTTGCCCCACCCATCCTATTACTTCCTCGTAGCCCCAAAACCCGTGAACCCCATAGCGGCCATCATGTCGTCTTCGTCATGTTCGCCCTCGATCCGAACATCATCCCCATACTCAGTCTTGACCTTCACCGCAGCCTCCTTCTCCAACCTCTTCCGCTCCTCCGCCTCCTTTCGTTTCCGCCTCTTCTCCTCCCTCTCCTTCTCCTCCTCCTCCTTCCGCACCTCCAACCGCTCCGCAAGCGAAACGACCTGCTCCCTCTTGCGCTCCTGCTCCCGCTCCCACAGCGCCTCGATGCGCGCGTGCACCTCCTCGGCCGTCGCCTTGCGCACCTCGCCTGTAGCGCCAATGCTCCGCTGGTGTTGCATGCTGTTGGTATGCTCGATCCATTGCAGGTTGTCCTTGAAGGTCAAGTCGCAGGCCTCGCAGTAGAAGCCGGCGCCGCGGCCGCGCTTGCCGACGCCGGCGCCCGCGGGCACCAGCGTCGACGTCCCGACCAGCTTGCTGAAGTCCTGGGTGGCGTTGCGGGCCGTGGTGAGCGTCTCGCTCCCGTCCATCGGTTTGTAGTATTTCTTGCCCGCCATCTTTGCCTCCCATCGTGCCTTTCGCTCCTCCTTCTCGGCCGCCTCGCGGTCTTTAGCCTTAGCCGCGTACTCGTCGAGGTCGTACTTTTTGCGGAAGTCGGTGTCGCCGGCCGCCTGGCCGTATGCCGATTCGTTTTTGGGCATGGTGGGCGGTTTGCTGAGGATCGGGTTGGTTTGGGTTGGTGAGCTTGTCGCGGTTGGGAAAGACGAACACGCGATGTCTCGGCACGGCACATGCATGCGCCATACCCATGCCCCCTGTAGCGACCACCCCGATAACGATAAACCACCCCTGTCGGCTGTTCACGAGAAATTTTGGCGGGGCAGTTTTGGCGGGGTAAATTTCGAACGCCGCTTCTTTTACCTCCGTTCTAAGCTCTTCGTTTCGACAAGATAACACGCATTTTCTCAAAGACAAAATGTTGTATTTGGTTGGCCTTGGTCTTTCTGACGAGACGGACATTACCGTCAAGGGTCTTGAAGTCGTGAAGAAGGCTTCTCGGGTGTACCTCGAAGCGTACACTAGCATCCTGCTTGTCGACCAGTCTGTCTTGGTATGTAACCAACCATTCTTGTATTTCTTCTTTTTTTTTTCTTTTCTTTTTTTGCCAACTCCAGGCTCGGCTAACGCTAATGCACAGTAGGAATCCTACTATGGCCGCTCCATCGTAGTTGCCGACCGTGAGATGGTCGAGTCTAACAGCGACGAGATCCTTCGCGATGCCCAAAACGTCGACGTAGCCTTCCTAGTTGTCGGCGATCCCTTCGGTGCGACGACCCACACGGACATGGTCCTCCGCGCGCGCGAGCTCGGTATCCAAGTACGGACCGTCCCCAACGCGTCCATCATGTCGGGCATTGGCGCCGCTGGGCTCCAGCTCTACAACTTTGGCCAAACCGTCAGCATGGTGTTCTTCACCGACAACTGGCGCCCGGCCCAGCTTCTACGACCGGATCAAGGAGAACCGAGACATTGGTTTGCATACGCTCATCCTTCTCGACATCAAGGTCAAGGAGCAGAGCCTGGAGAACATGGCCCGCGGCAGGAAGATCTACGAGCCGCCGCGCTACATGTCGGTCGGCACTTGCGCACAGCAGATGCTCGAGATCGAGGAAGAGAAAGGACTGGGAGCTTATGGGCCTGAAAGCTTGGCCATTGGCGCTGCGCGGGTGGGCGGAAAGACGGAGAAATTTGTCGCCGGTACGCTGAAGGAGCTCTGCGACGCCGATGAAGAGCTTGGGCCCCCGTTGCACAGCATGGTGCTCCTAGGGAGGAGGACACATGAATTGGAGCACGACTTTGTCCGCGAGTTTGCCATCAACAAGGAAAACTGGGATAGGATATGGAAGGCCGAGTACGAGGGCAGGCAGTAAGTCAGTCAATGCGATTGATCCTATCATACAAATTCGTCCAGGCAACAGCTGGCTCGGCGTCAAAACCATGAGATATCCGTCCACCACGGGGTTCGCGTTCAATTTGGCTTCCCAACCAGCATCCACCTAGTGAGACGATCTCCACTGGATGACCTCGGTGGCACTGATCTCACGCAACTTGTTCACCGACGCTGGCTTCCCCGTCACCACCCCCTGGGCAACCTGGGCCATTTGCCCGATTATACTCTTGGAAGAGATGGCGTAGTGCGCCGTAGTCATCTGGACCCGGATGATGCCGATGCGAGGGTCGTTTACCCCGCCGTCATGGACGCCGTCGCCCAGGTCTCCCAGCCAAGCCTTGAGGTGCTGGCTGTAATGCTTCTGGACGAGAGACCGGTCGGTGACCACATTGGCTGTGCCGCTCACCGATGCCCAGTCACCCGCGTAGTTGAGGAAGCTGATGTTGATGTGCGAATCGCTGGCAATGTCAACCGTCTTGCCCGACTCGGTGTTTGTGTGGAACAGGAGGTCGATGCCGCCGCTTTCCTGTAAAGCGTTTGATTAGGGGGACAATCGCTTTGTTGCTTGCGCGGTTGGGGCGGATTACGTACCTGAGCGGCCAGCGCCATACACCTTGACACTAAGTTTCCGGAACCGGCGTCCCGAGTGGTCATCATCCCAAACTTGCAATGCGTCATGAAGTTGCTGAGGTCTTGGACTTTCTGATCTAACGGCACATCCTCGTCGGCGTTGGCCTCTTTGTAGGGATCGGCGTGCTTCACTGAAGCCTCGGTCTGTTCGGCCATGTTGGGTATGGAGCCTCTCCTTTCTATTTGTTTGCTTGTTTGTTGTTATTTGCTGATGTTACGGGCTGATGTTATGTGTTGCCGTGTAAGTCGCTACTATATGTTCTCGACCATCAAAGACAAGGACAAAGTGTGTAAGCGGGTTGCCGTATAACTAGTTATGTATCCCCATCCGGATGATGATGTAAACTTTGAGCATGCCATCACCACAACCTGGATAACCGGCCACTGACGTCAGCCTGCAGCGGAACATGTCATATTTGTAGTGGCGATTCTGAATAAAATCGATTAGGTACCTTGTATCTGCAAGAAGCCTAACGATGCATCAGTCGTGGCTTGGCAGGGTTTAGCCACCGGCGATTCGAGCTCAGTTAAGTTCCGAGCTCTTTAGATATCCTATGCACCACGATCCACACATGATCCCAACCGCTGTCGGTGTGGATTACTGCTGTCTTCATCTTGCTCCCTGAGGGCCATAACACATCAAATATGACCATTAACATCCAACATGGCATGAAAAGTGCCTGAGCCATTTCTTTTCTTTTTTTCGCTCATCCTAGATTACCGCCAACTCTTCTGTTGGTGTTTCGCGCTCCGTTCCATCCCAACGCTCACTGCTAATCACGTTCGCTTTGCACTTCATAATCTGACATGGGTTAGGCAGGCGGAGCTGCACTTGAGTGCCCATTTTTTTTTTTTTTTTTATTTTTTTTTTTTTTAAAAAAAAAAAAAACAAAAAAAAAAAAAAAAAACATGTAACTGCTTCTCTCGGTCTCTTTCTGTCATCCACTAGACATGCTAGTTAGTGGATTCGGATGCAAACTCAACTCAGCGTGGAGCGGTGGCGCATTAGTGTCATACCGTGGCGTTTTATCGCTTAGGAAAGAAGGAAGGAGCCCCTGAACTTCGGATGTGAGAACGCTTGACCCAAAGCATCATGTCATTATTCGATTGTGTTGCCTGGGGAATTGGTTCCTCTTTCCAAATTCGACCAAAAACACATACATGGAGGACCTTAGCTGTTTTCTCTTCCATTTCTCTCATTTCAACACGGGATTTTTCTCAGTCATTGAGGGCCCGAGCTGAGGCTTCCATCCATTCATCCCACGCGCACATTCTTACTCCGTCAGCGGCGCCACATCGTTCTTCATCAGCCGATCAGTTTTTTGTGCAACCGACGACTTTCCCCAACAAACGGCCAACTACGCGTTCCATCATCCCAAGCGACACTCATTGTCCTTTGAGGTACTAACCCAACATTTGTTGCAGCGACCCCGCCATTTAACACGCAGATCGCGACTTTCCAGATCAATCGCTTGCCCACTTTTCTTCGTCGCCGCTTTTCCCCTCACTGACGAAGATGAGCTGGGACCCAGACACCGTGAGTGAAATTCGCCCCCCCGCACGCCATTTCCAGCGATGTGCTCGGCCTCAAATAGGATGTATCAGGACTTTACTGATGCTTTATAGAGCGTCATACCGGGTGAGGAACGCGATCAAGAAGAGCAGGCCAAGGCTTGGTATGACGAACCCACCCGCGCTCGAAATCGGTTACTCGAGGCCGAGAACTTGCGCCTCAAAAAGCTCTTGCGAGAGAACGGTATCTCCTGGGATCCTCGGTTGACTCTCGACCCGGACGATCTGACCAGAGGCTCTTGGTCTTCTCCTAAGCGGTCTCGGACTCGCAAATCCAAGGGTTCGATGTCACTTTCGCCGCAAAATTCACATCTGCCCATGCTTCCCGTGGAGATCCAGCTCTACATCTTGGAGTACGCTTTAACAAGCAAGACGCCGATTATCGACCCTCTGTCCAAGTCGAACCGAGACACCCTGTCAGCCGCCGAAAGAACGGCCGATAACCAGATTGCGATTGGCTTCCTGGCGACCTGTAAAGCCTACCTGATCGAGGGCACTCGCTTTCTCTGGAACAATAACACGTTCATCTTCACGAGCCATGTAGCTTTGCGCAACTTCGCCAACTTGAGCCTTGAACACCGCAAAGGTATCAAGTACGCCACTTTCCGCATCATCGCTCGCTATTACGATGACGAAGAGCGAAAACATCTCGCCCCCTACCCTTCTACGGCCGACACATACGCCAAAACGATCAATCTGAAGACAACCCTACGAATCAAGGAGGAGAATCTCGCCCGCAAGGGGTTTCGCAGCTACACGTGGGAGCAAGTCGTAGACTTTCTCGACGCGATGCGGCCACCTTTTGACCCCCATCATCCCAAAGGGCAACCGCGCCCTCGCCTCTTGCCTGGTTTAGAGACGTTGAGGATGGATTTTGTCAACTTTCCCGATAGCTTTCTCAGCCCAGGCTCAGGATCCTTCCTTCACAGCTTTGCATCGCACGATCTGGGCTGCACACTAAACGAACTGCAACTGACCGGTCTCCCGGCCTGCGATCTCGGCGATGAGCTGGTGTCCGAATTATCTGGGATGGTTAAAGATGAGGGCCTCGTTCTCAAATCAGACGCCACTTACGTCTACTCTGGGAATCAACTCCGCCAGATAGAAAAACCCCCGAAAGGCCAGAGGCTAAACCGCTGGAGCTGGATGACATCTTGGGATCCCAAGGTAGTTCGCTCGTGGAAGGCTCTTGCAGACGAGTATGCGCGCAGTAAAAACAAGCCGGCAGCTCCACAGCCCTCTCATGCCCACCACCGCCATAGCCACGCCGGACACCACAGAATGCCACCGGCCCCCAAGGAGGAGGGACACCCGGAATCTCCCTGGAAGGAACGCCGGACACTATTTAAGCGGGTACCTCGCCATAAGCACAGCGGGGAGCGCATTTGGGTCGAGTTCGACCGGCTCACTGGCCTTGAAATCGACCCTCTAGATTACGATGAAGAAGATGACGAATACGACATATCCGACCTCGTCTGTCCCCATTGTGATGTCATGCACCCCCCTTCAGGCGAGCATTGATCAATGGATGAAAGCTCTAGATCCATATGTTTTGGTTTTGGTGGTGGGATGAAGGACCATCGCGACAGGATTGCTCCTGATATCGTGGTGCCTGTGTTACAATAATGGCTTGTCCGTCGGCCTTGTTCATGAAATCATGTCTTGCTTTCTTACAATATCTTGAACGGCTTAAGGTCCGGAGGGGTGGGGGCATCATCATTTACACGGGGTATTGCGGCACCGGAAGGTGTAAAAAATGGGGAATGGCGTCAAGGGGAAAGAAAGGGTTCCAGAGCAGGAGTATCATCAGGTTGGGACTCCCAATTAGATACCCGTACTACCTCCAGTGTTGCTTTTAAACGGATGGCTTGAGTACAACGGCTTGTTAGTTTTGAATGTGTTTGTCGGACAATCTCCAACGATCGTGAACCGATGGTATTAGCGGCGAGGCAAATAGCGATCGGGATTCCTACTCCATCTCGCCGAATCCGCCATATCCATAACCCAACCTCGCCACAACATTAGTTGGATCCTCCATTCGACGCATGTGTCCCTCACATTCCCAACCCCATCTACCCTCCAAACTGACTCCCAGGGACCCCCCTCTTCCACAAACCCGCCCCGGCCGCCGTCCTCCGAGTCGAACCGTTCCCCCCAACCCCAGTCCCAAACCCCTGATACTCCCCCAAACTCGGCGGCAAATCCTCCACCCTGGTACCCCACGAACTCTCGTTCCGCCCCAGCGTCAACACCAGCTCCTTCCCCTCCGTAAAGAAACTATGATCGACCCAGTTGCGCGTATGCGGCTCCCCATCCAGCGTGGCACTCTGCACATACACGGCCGCATACCCGGGGTCAAAATTCACATTCCGCACCGTCGCCGTGCGCCCCGTCAGCGGGTGCGTGATATGGACGGCCTCGAAAAACGGCGGCGTGATCAGGTACACGTCCTGGCCCGGGTTGGGGAACAGGCCCATCATGGCGAAGGCCACGAACGAGCCCATCGCCCCGCTGTCGTCGTTGCCGGGGAGGCCGCCGGGGGTCGGGGAGAAGAAGGCCGGGATGTAGAAGTGCGAGCGCAGGGCGGAGAGGGCAGGGCGCCCCGCGTAGTGGTATTGGAAGACGGTTAGGAAGGAGGGCTCGTTGCTGATGTAGGTTATGGAGTGGTCGTGCAGGTAGTTGAGCCGGGAGATGAAGGCGGTGGGGCCGCCGTAGAGAGTGATGAGGGAGGCTTGGTCGTGGGGGACGAAGCTGGAAGGGGTTGGGGGGGTTGGTGGGTCAGTGAGTGGGTTGTGGGTTGGAGAAAAAGGGGGTGGAAGAGGGGGGAGGGGGGGGGGGTTTGCTTACAATCCGTATTCCCAGATGCTGCTTTCAAAAGTCTCGCGGCCGGTGTTCTGCAGCGAGCAGACGCTGAAAGAGTCGAGGTTGCTGCAGTTCAGGGGGTCCTGGTAGCCCCAGGTTTGGTTGAGGTAACGGGGTTGGAAAAAACCTGTGAAGCCGGTTTCGCTGCCGTTCCACCAGTTTGAGACATGATCCGCTTTGAAGAGATTCTCCCAGTTGCCGCTAGACTCGATGTACTTCTGTTTGTCACTCTCCTTGCCGAGGCTGGAGGCCATCTGGGCAATGCAGAAATCATTGTAGGCGTACTCGAGCGTCCGCGAGACGCTTCTCGTCATGGTACCAAAGCCTTTGTAGTCGAAGTCCTGGACCGGGATGTAGCCGAGGGACTTCCAGCTGTCGAGGCCTCCCCGGCCTTCGCAGCACCAGTCATAAGGTTCGACTTCGGCATCCTTTACAACGGCGGCATATCCATCGTCCCACTGTCGGCCGTCAGTGCCCGCTCAAAGAAGTAACAACAGATGGGGTCTTACGTCAATGTTTTCCCTCAATCCTTTAATATACGCATCCGCCAGCACAACGTCGGCGTTAGATCCGCCCTGGCAATGTTAGCTCTAGGTTCCTAGAAGAAGAGGACTGCGGTGCTCTTTACTTGAGTGTAGCCCTTGTTCAGACTCATACGACAATCGGGGAGCCACCCCAAGTGACGGTAGGTGTCAATGAGCGAGCGAACCATGTCAGTCAGAGCCAAGGGATCCGTAATGGCCAGTAGAGGGAGCTGTGATCGGAACTGGTCCCACAGGCTAGGTATCATTTAGCCACAACCACAAGTACGTCCAAGTAGGTATCGTACCAGTAGAAAGAGTCAAAATATGGGCTCGCTGCTAGACCACAGCGGATTCTCGCCCGTATAATTTTGTGGATTGATCATGGTCCGATAGATGCCGCTGTAGAAGTTTGTTAACATTGAGCCGTCGACCTGGTTTGTCGACACCCTGATGGGGCTCATCTTCTCCCTCCATGCCTCTGTTGCAGCCTCCGAGACGGCAGTGAAGTCAAAGTCCGGAATCTCACGCTCGCCATGCTCACAAGCTCGCTGGGCACTGATGAAGCTGGTAGCAGTCCGGACAAGTATGGGCTCGGCACCCGAATTAAACCTCACAAAAGCACCCCCCGGAAGTGGGTAGCCGTTGATGGATCTCGAGATGGTGATGTCGTGGACCTCGGTGCTGGCCCTGCTGTCGACAAAGATGCCGCTGTCCACGATATCGGCGCCAGAGAAGTCGGTGCAGAAATGCAAAACAAAAGTCCCGGTGCCAAAGCTGGGCAGGAAGCGGGCACTCCCAGTTATGCGGCCCGTCACGGGGTCCACAGTGACCGTAGCATTGTCCTGCCTGGAGTCAGCTAGGTCTGTGAGATCCTGGAGAATAAGGGGCTGAGCTGGTTCATTGTCCGGCCCGAGACTGGGGAAGGAGAAGCTGAAAAGCGAGGCGTGATGGGTTGTGGTCATCTCGGCTCGAATGCCGCTGTCTAGCGTGATCCCGAAAGTCCCCGGCTTCGCCGATACGTTGCTGTTCTTGAAGCGCCCATGCGCAGCACGCGTTTTCTTGGGAAAGCTACACTGGTTGATGTCCCCTTTGGGGCAGTTTGTATAGGCGAAGAGGGCAAAGTTTCCCAAACTGGGGCTGCCTCCGGTACCGCTGTCGTGCATCGTGCTGAAGCCTGTCACGGGGGATCCATCCATAGTGAAGCCGCCCTGCCTGCTCCCGCTGTTGGTGTCGGCAACAGCCTTGGCCATACCATATGGCATTGAAGCGCCGGGAAACACATTGCCGCCGTTGCTGGCTCCGATCAACGGGTCGACGTATGCGAGAGGGTCAAAGGCGTCCCGGGCCTGCGCCTTGCCCATTAGGGTCAACCAACCCCAGATGAGGAGCAAGGCCATGGTGATGAACACGGAAATAGTGGGTGACTGTTGGATATGAGGCAGTTGCCAGTCAGAGGGTTCGAACCTCCAGGAGTGTCTGATGGTTGGGCCGTCACTTTATGAACGGCGGAGCGTCGGACAGCAACAGACACGGTCATCTCACAGTATGCCCAAGCCCCTGAGCACCTACATATGTACCTGCTTCAAAGGTGTGTTTACACAGAAGGGTGATACAGATCCGGAAGGTACCCGTGCAGATCCAGAAGTGACTGTCCGAAATTAAATTGTGTCTCGTGGCCTTGCGCGACATGCCCAACCCGAGGAGAGAACTTGGAACTGATGCATGCCGGCAACCACCTTCCAGTTTGTGCCATGTCGACTGACCAACGCCATTCCTAATCCTCATCCATCGAGTCCACTGCGCGAGGTCATCGCAACATGGGGGGATTGAAGTGTATGGCGGATGCGCTGTTGGAATGCGGGAAAGGATCCAGGATGATGCGTTTAACAACAAGGTTACCCTCAACCGAGCGCATCGCAGTAACTAACCCCGAAACAAAAAGGTCAGTTCGAACATGGGCGGTTCAGTGAGGAGGTGAAATTACCTGATGAAGTCTGTGGGTGCGTCCACTTGCCCTTTTTGGCGCCTATCTTTTTGCTGCAGGGGGTTATCCGCAGCGAGGGCCCACTGCCGAGAGATCCCGGCGATCCCCCGCCCCCACTCCCACTCACACCGATTCAAAAACGTCCCGACGCCCCACCAACCGACTCCAAATACACTACTGATATCGTCCCGAGTCGTCCCAACTTTCGGAATGTCGAACGATCGCGGGGTAAGTTTCTTCAGAGGACAGTATTCCAGGCCAACCCACTGACCCTTTATATCCACACAGTTTCCGAACCAGAAACCGCGAGGTCCAGACTCCAGGTTCCCCCCAGATTCAGTTTTCGGTTGCACGCAGCCGGGCACAGTGCAACGACCATCACCCAACCATGACACCAAGTTATCCATGTATCACAGCGGATGCAGATACCCGATCTCCAAGTGAGATTCTGAAACAAGTACCATAGAGGATGAGCATAACCTCAATGGTAGGCTTTTCTCTCCATCCTCTTCGAGAATGATGTCTAATCACAATGGCGTTAGCGCCGCTTTTAGACGCCATCGCTTCGAGTTAGACGGCTTCGAAAATTTGTCACGGAAGCGGTTTCCTAGCTAAAGTAGGTGGCCAGCTTTACTTTTGGCGTCCTGGAGCATCGATGAGACGGATACCAGCGGCGGCTCCAAGATGCCAATCACGGTTTTCGCGTTTGCACGGTATGCATTGAGCCAACAAGACGGTATACCATGGCATATCTGCAAACGACGTGGCGGCCCCGCACATAATCGCGGCGCCCATGGCGCTCATTGAGCCGGCTTCAAACGCAGCCTGGATCGAGCTTCCGATCTCCACTCGTTCGTCAGACCGCGCCACCCACGCCCAAGGTCGCGGTCGTCCGGGTCTTGTTGGCGGAGTTGACCGCGGGGCCCATATCGCGAGTCATTGTTATCAGGGGGGCATATCACCAAACCAGTTTGCAGTTCGCTTCAGCAACCCTTTATAAGAACGCCGTTGCCCGTTATTCACCTCCTCGAGTTCGTTAGATCTCAAGACGACTTGCCCTCCGGCCCTGGCAGTTGTCTTTTGCTCTTTCGCACACTCGACTGCACCTGGCACAAAGCAGAGGCCTTCGCAAGATTTTGAGGCGCGATTTCCCTCTGACATCATGCCGCCCGTGAGGTCGAATACAGCCGATTCTTTACCCACGTTAGGGGACAACCTCAACAGGGTCAGCCGCAACAGCAAGTCGAATCCGGTCCTAGTGTTACCCCAACAATACGAAAGACAATGGAGCAACCCTATCATGACGGCTCTGTCGCCGCCCCCGAGCTCCAAGCCAGCTCAACCCCAGCGGAAAAATTCCCACCATCGACTAAGAAGCGATTCAGGCCTGGCATTGCACACAAATCAAGCTGCCTTTCGTCAACGCAAAAACTCTAACTCGGCCGGCCCGGTGTCTACACGGCATCTTCCCGCTAGAGCATTGAGCTTCGACAGCAACAGTAGTGTGGAGGAGTTCGCTTTGGGTCGCAGCTTCAGCCCAGAACTTGGCGGGTTCGTGTCCAACGGCAGGGTCATTCCCGACTTTTTCGAGCCAGCCGTGGTCAAATTGGCATTTTCCAATAAAGAGACGGTTCGGAGGCTCTGTGCGTTTGCAGAAACCAGACATGACGGATCGGATATCGACTTCTTGCGCAAGGTCATTGCGCCCCACACCCCCAACGTCACGACGCCAGACATGCTAATCCGATTACAGGTGGAAGAGTATTCTCGGGCACTCGGGAACCTAATTTCTTCCATGAGCTACATATCCTCGAACTTCACCGGCACAACCGCAACCTCGCCGCTCGAGCTCTCATCGGAGGTGGCAGGTGCTCTCAAGTCGGACATCAAGTTTTGTGCAAGATCAGCGCTACCGGCCCTTGACAAAGTTTACCGGGACGCAAAGTCTACGGCTGAGGACCGATTATCTAAGAGCCTTTACCCAGAGTTCGTCAAATACCAGCTTTCTCAGCGTTTGACGACTTCGTTGACCTCAAACCGTTCGTTGGCCGGCGAGACTAACACCCCTTACCCCGGCCTTGGCGAAGCTTTCTGTCTTACCGACCCGCATCAGCCCGACAATCCCGTCATCTTCGCGTCCGATGGGCTCTCGGCCATGTTAGGGTATTCGCGGAGGCAACTTGTCGGGCGGAATTGTCGCCTCCTTCAAGGGATTGCTACCGAAGCGACAGCGGCATTCCGGCTCAGCCAAGCCGTAGGGGCTGGAAGGGAGGCTACCGAGCTACTCATCAACTACCGCCCCGACGGGACTCCCTATTGGAATCTCTTGTTCATTTGTCCCCTCATGGAAAATGGGACTGTGCGTTATTTCCTCGGCGCCCAGGTCAATGTCTCGGAGAATATGGGGTCTGATTACATGGAGATCATGGGCGTCTTGAACTTTGGTCCGCCTCGACAAGAACAGCCCACACTATCCCCCGAATCTCCAACATCCCCGATCTGGCCAGCACGGCAGAGTTCCGACAAACTAGAAGTCCCCAACTCCAATGACCAGCATGAAGAAAAGTTTGAAGGAAAGCCAGGTTCCCGCCGCTGGCGCTTCTTCCACCGCCTCCACCGCAAGGCGCCTTCCCTGCGTGCCTCTTCCCCTTCGCACCGCAGCACGGCCTCGGAGCCCACCACGGACGACAACTCATCACCACCCCAGGCCTCCCGGAACTGCCCTCCTCTCAGCCCCTTCAGCGCACACATGGAGCTCCACCAGCGCCGTCCGTCGGAACAACAGCTCGACGAGAACAGTACCCCGTACTCTCGCTTCCTAGTCATGCGCTACACCAGCCCCCACCCGCCGTCAACTAGCCACAATCGCCGACAGCAGTCCGGGAGTAAGCGGCTCGCCCGCGAAGAACGCTCCCGTAGTGCCACACCCCGGCTGCCCGTGTCCTTCTGCTCCTCCCATGCCCTCTCCCTCCTCGGTCTTGAGACGCAGCCACAACCCCACTCCCGGCCTCCCGAATCCCCCCTCCTGGGCAGCGACATCTTCTCGGTGCTCTCGTCACACCTCAACTCGCCCACACTCGATCGCGTGTTCAAGGCCGAAATGCTAGCCAGGCTCGACCGCGGGGAGAGTGTCAGGGCCGACCTGATGGTGCGAGTGGGCGGGCCCGAGGGATCGGCAAGGGGGTCTAGGAGTGGGGCGCCGATTATCCAGATCAATGGCACTACTTCGGGGTCGGCGACGTCGTCGGGAGAGGCGCTTCCCTTTGACTCTAGGCCGAGAGTCAGTAGCTCACTGGACCGTGGGAGCGGGTTATTGAGTCATGTTTTGTCTCCTGGGGGAAGGGGTGCGTATGAAGCGGATTGTTAGTAGCTGGGTGCCGTTAAAGGATGGTGAGGGGAAGGTGGGCTGGGTGGTGCTTGTTCTGATGCCTGCTGAGGGCGAGTGTTTTTGAAGGGCTGCGGAGGATGTGATCGCAGGGTACGATTAGGAAGGGGAAAAGGCGGGGGCGGGTTGGTTGATGGCGATGCACTCGTCGTATTGGAAACAGCACCCAGAATGCAAAGTCTCTGTACGATACAAATCTTGGTTACGGAAATGCATAATCATGGTTCGGCGTTACACAATATATGTACAAGTTCTTTCCTGCAAGTCTTCAACGAGGACCACCGCCCAAACTGCAGTGGCTTAATTGGCACTGGCGGTGGTCCTTGATGCGGGACACTGCATCTAATTGCAAATAGTAGAAAAAAGGTAGAAGAAAGAGTTGTCTCTACAAAGGTAGAAGGCGCCTCAGCCTGCACTGCAATATAATTGTGCGCGCAGAGCGCAGACTATTTGCAGAGGACCAAAGTGGGGCGGCCTGACACGGAATATCTCTAAGTAACTCTGATCACACAGTGGGGATTCTTGCATCAGTCCTCCTCCGCCCCGGGCAGAGCTGTTCCAAGAGGTTGCGGGTTCGAGCGATGCCTCGGGCGAGGATCTAAGGGGGCTCTCCCCCTTAAGTCTCTGTCTCTCGATCGGAGAAATCCCACCGGGGGTTTCGTAGCTGGCCACCTCCCTTCGGGGGGCTGGCCGGTGAGCTTTTGCCTTTTTTTTTTTTTCTCGGCTTTTTTATGTTACTTGGTGGTTGATCGCGTATTGTGGTCTACTTAAATAAACAAAAAAATGGTTAACGGTTTGTTTGGGGTTGTATGCACGAATATTCGACCACAACCACCCAACACCGCATGCACTGTGCACCCCAAACAGACTCCTGCCCTCCCCACCCTAAGTGAATAAAACTCTCCAACTCCCCTCACACAGTCCATCACCCGCGAATGGTAGCCGTATTGCTAACTTGACCCATCAACCGGCGAGGAAGCTCCCGGGTCCGGGCCTGGCCACCCGAGCCACCCGAGCTATCTGCGCATTGAGGTGGTGGCGACGCGGGAGCCGCCCGGCCGATCAGTGGGGCTGCCTCTCCCGCCCGCAACTGCCTTGTGGGGTTTCTCGGTGGAGGATGGGGGGCTGGCGCCGGGGGTTCCGGGGGGGTTGTGTGTTTTGTTTTGCTTGGAGGTCTGGAACGGGCGGTCGCTTCGGAGCACGGGTTTTAGGGTTTGAGGCTGCGGGCAGGGGGGTGGCTCTGTTTACTGCGTTGGTATGGGATTTTTGGGCGAGAGATAGGGGCGTTAAGAGGGTTTGAACGGAGACGCTGTTTAGAGAGCTGCCGCTGCTCTTTGCGCCAGCTTCTTTGTCAGGTTCAGGGCAGGTGTAAAACGAGGAATATAAGTGAGAGTTAGAAGACTTGGTAGTTAACCGTTGGTTGCCTTGGGGTTCAGGGTTATATAGGTATCATGAGTAGAGTTACAACACTAAGAACGCAAGGAAGAATCGCGGACATAAAGGTCCTGCCCTTCAATGATAGGTAGCCAAGGGTGCGTCGCGCCAACCGTAGAGCAGCCCACAGATGTGCCCGGGACGTGACTGGGACCTTGACCTGATCAAAACTCGCGCGTCTCCCCCACAGCGCAAACATCAAACACGCCCGTCTCGGGGAGCCCGCTCGTCTTGAGGGCCTCCTTCAGCAGCTTGGGGGGCTCCTCGACCTCCTCGCAAGTCAGGACCCAGGTGCCCCAGTGGATGCCCATGGCGCGCTTGCAGCGGGTCTCCTTGAAGATCTCGACGGCGTCGTAGGGGTTGGCGTGCATCCAGCTGAACAGCCAGCGCGGCTTGTAGGCGCCGATGGGGATCAGGCCGAGGTCGAAGGGCCCGCGCAGGTCGCCGATCTGGCGGAACTGCGGGCAGCGCGGGAGCGCGTCGTACTCGGGCCCGTAGTCGTCCACCTCGACCGGCGTCTTGGGCACCCGCCGGTAGCCCGTGTCGCCGCCGAACCACACCGACTTGTCCCCCGACTTGACCGCCCACGACGCCCACAGCGTGTGGTCATGGTCCCGGCCCGTCCGGCCCGACGAGTGCTGGCACGGCAGGCAGGTGATGCGCGCCGAGATGGTGCCGGGCGCAGACTTGTCGCCGTCGGCGGCCGCTGCGGTGGTCTCCTTTTTGTCCTTTTGCAGGACCAGGTCTGCGTCCTGCCACCAGTCCATCTCGGTCACATTGGGGATGCCGCTGGCGCGGAACCACTTCTCCAGCCCCAGGCCGACGAAGAACTGGGCGTTGGGGTTCCGCTTCGCGAGCTCCTGTACGCTCGTGTGAGAGAGGTGGTCGTAGTGCGAGTGCGAAATCACCACGGCGTCGATAGGCGGCAGCTCCGAGAGCGAGCATGCCGGCGGCGAATACCGCTTGGGGCCAAACCACTGCACCGGCGTGCAGCGGTCCTCAAATACCGGGTCGAATAGCACCCGTAGCCCGCTGGGGAACTCGACAAAATAGCAGGCATGGCCGAGCCAAGTGGCTCGCAGCGCTGTTGACCCGGTCCGCTCCGACAAGAATTCGGGCTTGACGACGGGGATTTTGACGTTTGAGACGTCAGGAGTTGGCATGCCACCTGTGAGACGGGCCCTGCATCATGTCAGCAACCCTGGCTATACATCCATATTTATTAAGGTAGGGATTTAACTTACCAGGCGATCTGGCTGCCAACTACAAACGGCGAGCTGGGCGGGGTGCCGCCAGCGGACGGGTGTGGGTTTCGAAACTTGATGGTTTCCCCCTTACTCCCTTTGACATGGTGAGGAGCGAGGCGGGCATCCTCCGGGATATCCGTACCCTCCACCTTGGAAACGACGCTCGAGTACACGGCCATGGATGCTGCGGCGGCGGCAACGGTTGAGAAGGAAACGGATGCGCGCAAAGCAATAACAGCAGTTGGTGGCCTGGATTTGAAGGCGAAGGAACGACCGAGTCTTGTGGCAACCCGTTCCATTGCAAACGGCAAGAGACCCCTGGCACGCAAACGCTGCAAACCACTGCCCTTTAACTATCAGATCCCCAGACAGTCTCGGGCCTTGACAACGCGTGGCTTTGTATCACCTAGGACTCGGCTTCGGGGCAATACGCTCGTTACTGCATCATGCAACCCGGCCCTGTAAACTGCGCCATTAGCATGCCACACGTAGTATGTTTTGCACCTGCTCCGGCCCGAGCGGGCCTAAAGCGCCCTATCTCCGGCTTCCGATGCCCGGCCAGAATTTTTGGGGAGTTTTGGCGGCGGAGACTGGCTAGATTGGACTGGACCCGGAGTGTAAAGTTTGCCCGCGGCCGAGGGGCCGCCTGTGGGCCCAGCTGCTGGGATTTCCTGCCGGGAAGGATGCTGGACATCATGGTGCCAAGTACAGTAGGTACCTTACCTTAACCGCATCTGTTGATGACAGCATGCCAGGGAACGAATGATGTTGTCTCCCATGCCAATAATTTGCTTATATCTCTACGAAGCAACTCTATTCGTATATGATGTAATCATCCTCGAGAACTTCCAGAGCCAATCCCCAAAGTCGCTAAGCTTGATATTGTACATATGCTATTCAACTTATTTCGCTATAAATTCGACCTCGAGTTTCGTTGATCCTTCATGTTCCTTATACTACTTCGACCCCTACCCACTCAGCATACCCACTCAAAAGTCGTTATTTGGACGTTTCATCATTGTCTACAAATGATCCCCCCGCTGGGCGCTCGGGTATTAACGCCACTTGGTCGGCCCTATGGCTGTGGAAAATTGACTTGATTCTTGACGGCCCGATGGGGCAGTAGATGCGAACGGCGAGGGAAGGAATGTGAGTGTCTTGATCCGCAGTAAAGGTTGGAAAGAGACCCAGTACTAGGTAGAAGTAGAATATCAAATTGATCACAAAAAGCAGAAAGATGCAAAACAATTGAGTCGAAGGCGTGGCCTGCTTGACTTACGCACGATCCACATTGCATGGTTTCTGAGAAACTCGTTGTTGCGGTTAACCACTGCACCACTCCCCCTCCTCGGCGCCGTTTGGTTATGTGTTCGAAATTCGAGTTGTTCAATGGGGAAGCACATTGTAATGGAAAGCAGGGAGAGTTGGGATGAAAATTGATACCCATACCGAGTGGCCTTGGGCATATTAACAGAATACAACACAAATGATTTGAATAAGCATCCACATAGCTTTCACTTCATCAAGTGTATAGCTGTACCTATGAGGGCTAGAAATGGAGGTAGGAAGCGGGCTTCGAAGAACATGTCGTAAATACAAGGGCAGAAAGCAACGCAACATCTACCACGGCACTGCCGCAGGAGCAAACAAGTAAAGGAAACGGCGCTCCGTTGCAGAGCCAACTACCAAACTCATGTCCCCGAGAAATAAGAACACCCATGAATGAACGTGTCCCCCAGCTGTCCAGCAACGCGTAATCTCCCGCCTAACCCTCCGATATATCCATCCCCTTGCCTTGCCAAAAGAAGGAACGCAAGGAAAAAAAAAGAGGGAAGCCAAAGCCAGGAAAGGCCCTCCTACAACCCCCCAAACACCCCCGATCAGCGCCCATCCCACCCTAGAAAGAACCAACCCACAAGGAAAAAAAAAGCACACCACATACCTCGTCGACCCCCAGGGTCCAGCAACCCAAACTCCCACCCCAAACCCACCTCCCCAATCCTCAACCCCCCACGCAACTAAGGTAGGCACGTGCCAGGCACTCAAGGCGCAATCTTCAGCGGCACCGGCACCGGCGGCGGCGGCGGAGAAAACGTTACAGCCGCGCCGTAGCAAGGTAAGGAAGCGGTGTGGGTGTGGGTATGCGTATGGGAGTGGGTATGAGTATGGGCCGGCTGCACGGCGGCGCCAAAGAAGATGGGCGGTGGCGGAGGAGGGGGCGGGGTGGTGCTGCCGAGGTAGGTGATGGTGGAGGTCGGGATGATGACGGCGGGGGGAGGGGGTGCTTGCGAACTGTTGAGGTTGGATTGCGGTGTCTAGTTGAATGGGTGGGATCCATTGTTGTGTTAGGTAGGTAGTGAGTCATGGGGTAGGGTTGGTTTGATGGGAGTGGGTGGTGGGGATGTCCGGCCGCACGGGAATACATGTGCTGGTGATGGGTAGGTGGTGTGCTAGGGTTGCCTTACCCGGAGTGAGTGGTAAATTGGGGAACGAAGACGCTGGTTGTCGCCATGACCGGCAAGTAGCCTACGAAGGATGCCATCCTGCGCTGTGGGTAGGTGGTCTGTTGGTCAAGTCGAGTTGATGGGTAGGTAGGTAGTCAATGATGGCCAGTGGCGGTAAGAGACAACGGGTTAATCGGGTAGTAAATCGAGGTTTAATTGCTGTAAAGAATGGTGTCAGAGCAAGGCATTATAGGCACTTTGGATTTCTTTATGTAACTCTGCCAGCGCACCCAAGAGGGCACGAGTGACAAACGAACACATTGACTTGGTTCTCGTGACCTAGGCTATCTTCAGACCGAGATCGCCGCTCAAACCTCAAAGTTCAAAAATCAGGGAAAGAACCGATGATTTGAACAAAATTAAAACCCCGTGATCGTTTCTCAAAGGGGTCGCTCACGAGCTCCACACATACCACGAGCTTCGAGAACTTGGGGGTACGACATCGAGTCCTCGCAACCGGGATGCTTCCCATAAAATGGAGGAAATCAATAGCAACAGGCTCGCAATGTCGAGCGAAATGCTTTTCCATTCGTGTCCCTCATTAATGAATTCATAACGGGTTTCATGGGGTGTTGTATCAATAACGCGATACTTCACTTAAACCTCCCAGACAATGTCGACGGTAATCACCTTAGCCAGGTGTTGTTGGGATTCAAACCAGCCTTATTTTCCCAACGACCTCACCAAGGGCGGAAGTCTGTGTTCTCTTTTCACTTTGAATGCTCCTTCACCATCTTGGCAGCAGCCGCAGCAAGGTCCTTCAGTGCATCACGGCGCTTGTACTTGGCATCTTCAATGACCCCTAGAGAAAGTTAGTCCCGGATCTTGAAACGAAAAAGTCCGTTGCCACGGGGCTTACCAATGTCGGCATCGCTCGAGAATTTGGATGTCCAGCGGACAAAGGTCGTGTCCTGGAGCTCGCCAGAGGTAACAGCCCAGCAGCGAATAGTGCTCACGACGCTCGAGTACGTTAGGTTGGGCTCGGCGTTGATGACACTGTACGTAATGAAGTGTTCCAGGTTCTGAAATGTGTCAACATTGTTGACCACACCGTCCACACGCATCACGGGGGAGCCAAGATGCTCACGCTATGCTCGTCCTGCTTCACTTCGACGACACTGCCGTCCTTGAAGGTCCACCTAACCACGTCCGTCTCGTGGCTGGTGCCCTTGACGTGTTCGGCCTTCTCAATCGCAGACCAGAACTTATGGAAGTCGGGCAGCTTAATAAAATGCCAGACGTGCGAGAGCGGAGCCCGGATGACGGCGCTCTCAATCACCTCGTTCGTGGTGGCGATGCCCTTTTCAGTGGAAGAAGCCATGATTCATAAAAGTACGGCAAGTACCACTTGGCTGAGCAAATATGTTTTGGCTGTTTTAATTCGTGTCGTGGGTTGGCGTGGATGGTGTTGATTCGAGTTGACAAGAGATGGGAAGGGGTTGTGAATTGTGATTACTCCGTAGAAAACCAACTAAAACCAAAACTGACCTCATGATGGTTTTCTGGTTGTTTCCTGCAAACGAAACGAAATGATATGTGCCTTCCTTCGCTACGTCATTTGGCAGCCATGACATACAAAGTCGGCGGGGTCCTTTCTCACAAAGAACGAACAATTGGTTGACACAGACAGCACGATGTGGTCTGATTGGGTGCATTTCACCTGCCCGCAGCTGCTGCAGCGAAGAGTGAAGGCAAGGTCGAGACAGCCATCGGCCTTTCCTTGACTGGTATGTACAGACCCGAAAGGCTTGGATGCCCTCAGGACCTTAATCTCAAGGGCCTGGATTCGCCTGCGTGCATTTTCTTGGCTCCTCGAAGAACATGCAAGGTCAAACCCATTTATCACCAACGATGGCGCCTTCAAGTGAGGTTGGTCGGAGTTAAATTGAGCCCCTCTGCTAAACCCACAGCAGCTGCCAAAAATAGATGATGAGCTTTCTCGCTCAGTTTTGGTGGCTTGCTCTCGATCGCCACAGACAGACAGCCTGCATGCAGGTCGGTCCGAGCTGGACGCAAACTTTCCGGTCCTGAGAACACAACACGAATGCAGCAGGACCAAACCGTTTGGCCGCGGTTCGAGCGCGACTAACCTTAACTAAACTGATTTGGCCCTGGGACCACAGCCTGAAGAGTTCAGCCACAGCCACAGCATTTATTTCGGTGGTGGGAATGCGGGAATCCTGGCAAGGCACCGAGATATCGGACCCCCCTGTTCAGCGGAGGGGGTTGGCACCGGAACTTTCTTGGTGCGGTTGGTGGAACCTGGCCACACTTCGAGAGAGCCCAGACTGAGCTGCCCCTTCAGCCATCATCGCTGTTGGCTATGTCGGTTGTGGGTTCGCCGACGAGATATGAGGGCAATGCTTGCTATATCTTTCGGAAAACAGAGACTCCGGCCATGTGTTCACTTATTTTCCGTCTTTTCGACATTCAATATCGCCGTTGTGATTGGAGCAAGGAACGAGACGCCCCAGGAAGTTGAGATTGTGGGGTGTTTTGTGTGACATGGCCCTGTCCGCCCGTCTGTCACCCGCGCCCGACAAGGTTCGACCCACACATCCGGCTCAGCTCAGCCTCAGGGCGCCTGGGGGGCGTCGCTGATCCAAATGCTTGATTGCTCTTTATCCGGGCCTGTCGCAAAGGCCTCGCGTTGTGGGAATTCTCCTGCGTTTGTTTGTTTCTTTGCTGTCGCACAACCTCCTCCCTCGCAGTCGGTCCAGCACAACTTTGAAGAGAGCGCCGAGGCCGAGGTCGGGGCAGCCATCGCATGCCACAACGAGAGTAACCCGACGCTAGGTACCCAGCGGGCGGACGCAGGAACCAAAGTTCGATTTGCCAAATTTCGAAGGCCTAGGAGGTCTGGCCACACCATTGACCAAGAGATCGACCACGGCGAGGCACTCTGCTATACATATACACAATGGTCAGCTTCAAGCAAATACGTATCCTCCCGGCAGCGCTCGTGGCGTTAATCCTAGTCTCCTCGTCGAGCGCTGCCGATGATGTGGTCGATTTCAGCTTCTACCCAGCGCCAGCGCGAGATTGCCTTTACGACGCCGCCGACAGCTCCAAGTGCGAGTCAAAAACGGTCGCTGAGACGAACGCGTGTTTCTGCCGAAACGGCGGAGACTTCATCACAACAGCCGCCGCCTGCATCGGGCAAGCGTCCAAGGGCAATCTTAGGACGGTGTACCGGACGATGCGAGATGCATGCGACACTTCGGATACGCCTATCAACGTCACCGAGGGCGAGTTCATGGACGCCGCCGAAGGCACCTCCTCGACGACTTCCTCGACAACGTCAGCCTCGAGTACGACCAGCGCAACATCCGCAACGAGCACAGGCGAGACGGTTACCTCGACTACTAGCACCGGCACGGCCACTACGACACCAACCTCAACGCCCCCGCCGGCCGAAGAACAACAAAGCGGGGCCTTGTCCACTGGCACCATGGCCGGGATCATAGTCGGCGTCATTGGGGGACTGGCGATGCTCGGCGGACTGGGATACTGGCTTTCAGGC